TAAGGGTCCATTTTCTCTTTCAGGCACTGAGAGAACAGACCCTTGACATGTTACCATTCATGTCCTTAAATGTTATAATCTACCAAAAGATGACCTATAAGTTTTGAATTCAGTAATTTACTGAATGATACCAAATATGTATGCAAATCGATTTTATGGTGATTCTATTTTGATGCACAGGAGACAAATGAGACCATTATATACATCATGGATACAAATAAGGTATTGCTGTCAAAATAAATTATCATATCTTTCGAACGAGCTTGAGTGACTGATAAGCTTATGCAACTCGGACTGTTACCTGACACATGTTTTCCGTATGCAATAACATCCTTTCCAGGTTTCGCATGAAAATTTTCCACAACTGCAGTTCCTTTTTTTATTTTGTATAAACTGATATTTGTATAGAGAATACCCCAAACCGGTGAAAAATATAATATATTATAGCTGCAGGAAATGATATAGAACAGATCATTTTATTTTGTTTTCCTTTTCATTAAGGGTAACTTTATTCAAAGAGGGGGGCGGGGGTGTGGGGCTTGTCTCCATTCCTTATCATTCGTCTCAGGTAAACTGAAGTTAGCCCATATGACTAGCTCATAGGACTGCATTTGATAAGTTGGTGGATAAGTATCGTCCATATTTTTAAGAATATGTCGCATATGGGATTGCGATGTAAAAAGGCTGTATTTATTTGTTTTCAAGGACCTTAGCTTGTGCAACATTTTGTGAAGTTGACTCATACAGGAAAGAGCTTTATTTAATTTTGTCTTTAGGCATACTGAAGGACCTTATATTGTCCAATCTCATATTTTCCGATATATATATACTATTTTAATAAAAATCATATTTTGTGAAACTACAACGTTCAGAGATTAGATATTTAACACTTAGTATGGTCTAGTAGATCTCTACAAAGGTAACACTAATTTTGCCGATGTGTTAACACTGGTCTTGCTCTGATGTCACTTAGTTAACATATAGTTTATGAATATTTAAAATCCCAGAAACTGCACTGACTATAGCTATGCTATCTGACATGTAGCATGACATATATAGAACATGACTTACATAGAACTCTTATATTAAAGTGAGAATTGCATTTACTATAATCTTGTATCAAGTACACACAGCATAGAAGCCGGTCATATCTACTCGATAAAATTGAAAATTTTGTTGAACACTTTGAAATAACAAATGAAGGACACATTGAATAATATTATAAAGCTTACTCTTTGTCTTTGTTTTAGAGTGATATATGTGACTGTGATGAAACAAACAAACACAAATGTTTTGTACACAATATTTATTAGTAGAACAAATGTCCTTCAAAACAAAACAAAAAAATGAAAAAAATAGAGAAAAAAAAACAACAATAACAGCAAACAAACAAATAAAGAACAAAAACATGTAGATTTCTATTATATTTTTTACTGATGTTTTTTTAAGTGTAACTGTCCTCTGTTCATTTGCCTGAAATTGCTTCAAATAATTACAAACTAATTGCTCATTGATCGTCAAGAAATAAACATCTGTAAATGCAAAACGTCAAATATGTTTCAGTTTCTATTGATATATTATGCTTATGTAAATGTTAAAAGTAAAGTTGTTAAAGTCCTTTTCTTTCGTCAGTCTATTGAACAACTAGATTTTGACAGTGTAATGTCGGTATAAAATGCGATTCATTTTAATTTTGAACACAATTGTATCTGGTTAAATTCTTTGAGTATTTCATTCAAGTAGTAAATGTGAATAATGACGTTAACGTATACTGACACGTGCTTGTCCGTCTGTCTGTCTGTCCATCTCTCCGCACACTGTTAATAGTAATAAAATTTCTATTTTGCGGCTAAAAAGAACTTCATTTACAGCTGACTTCAATTACATTTAGCCTGACACGTCTAGGCATGAACAATTGTCGGCACGATAAGCCTGGGATTTACTTATTACGAAAACGACGACGACCACAACAACAATAACAACAGTAATAACAGGAAAGTTACCATTATTTTACTTGGTTTTTCGTCTTTGATGGGCAGTGCAGTGCATAAGCAAGGTTTATAAAAACTGGTGAATAAATTCATGGCGGTCGTTTAGAGTCATACCGAATACGTATAGAAACTTTAGAATATTCAGGAGATATTTTTGATGCGTGAATCAGTAATGACTCGTTAAATAGTGATTTAATTCATAATCATGTTCAACAATGTTTAAGACTTAGAACGTACTTAAATAAAATACAAATGCAATACTTATGCAGTAATTACAATAAATAAATGCAATACTTATGCAGTAATTATAATAAATAAAAATAATAAATGAACAAGAGGGCCATGATGGCCCTGAGTCGCTCACCAGAAACAACTGCTTTTCAGTGTTGGAATGTCAATATATTCTCATATTAAACTTGAGCATTGAATATGTTTAAACAATAATTTGAAGAAATGCCATGACCTGGGGCATTTAAGCTTTAGCTTAAACAGGGCTAATCAAATTATTATGAGCAAACTTGATAAAAGACTACCTAAGAATGCTACAAAGTTTGGTGATCATCTATCAATTATTTCAGTAGGAAATGATGTTCGAAGGTTTTTTCTATTTTTAGCTTTAGTGGCCCCTAAAAGGAGCCAATCAAATTAATATAAGCAATATAAGACAAAGTTTAGTGATCATCTATCAGTTGGTTCTGAAGTAGGACATGTTTAAAGGTTTTTCTATTTTTAGCTTTAGCGGCCCCTAAAAGGGACCAATCAAATTAATGTGAGCAAACTTGATAAGAGATTACCCAAGAATGCTAAAGACAAAGTTTGGTGATCATCCATCAATTAGTTCTGTAGAAATAGACATTTAAAGGTATCTCTATTTTTAGCTTTAGTGGCCCCTAAAAGGGACCAATCAAATTAATATGACCAAACTTGATAAAACACTACCCAAGAATGCTGTCGACAGAATTTGGTGATCATCCATCAATTAGTTCTGTAGAAGAAGATGTTTAAAGGTTTTTCTATTTTTAGCCCTAGATATCCCTAAAAGGGGCCAATCTACATAATATTAGCAAACTTGATAAAAGACAACCAACAATGCTACAGACAAAGTTTGGTGATCATCCATCAATTAGTTCTTCTAGAAATAGACATTTAACGGTATTTCTATTTTAAGCTTTAGCGCCCCTAGAAAGGGGCCAATCAAATTAATATTAGCAAACTTGATAAAACAACTACCCAAGAATGCTGTTGACCCAACACTAAAAAAAGAAAAAAAAACTTTGGTGATCATCCATCAATTTATTCTGTAGGAGAAGATGTTTAAAGATTATTCTATTTTAAGCCCTAGAGACCCCTAAATGGGGCCAATCAAAATAATATAATCAAACTTGATAAAAAAAACTACCCAACAATGCTACAAACAAAGTTTGGTGATCATCCATCAATTAGTTCTTCTAGAAATAGACATTTAACGGTATTTCTATTTTAAGCTTTAGCGGCCCCTAAAAGGGGCCAATCAAATTAATATGAGCAAACTTGATAAAACACTACCCAAGAATGCTACAGACAAAGTTTGGTGATCATCCATCAATTAGTTCTGTAGGAGAAGATGTTTAAAGATTATTCTATTTTTAGCCCTAGAGACCCCTAAAAGGGGCCAATCAAAATAATATTAGCAAACTTGATAAAAGACTACCTAAGAATGCTACAGACAAAGTTTGGTGATCATCCATCAATTAGTTCTCAAGAAATAGACGTTAAAAGGTTTTTCTATTTTTAGCTTTAGCGGCCCCTAAAAGGGGCCAATCGAATTCATATGAGCAAACTTGATAAAACACTACCCAAGAATGCTACAGCCAAAGTTTGGTGATCATCCATCCATTAGTTCTGTAGAAGAAAATGTTTAAAGGTTTTTCTATTTTTAGCCCTAGAGACTCCTAAAAGGGGCCAATCAAATCAATATGAGCAAACTTGGTAAAGGACTACCCAAGAATGCTACAGATGGTGATCATCCATCAATTAGTTCTGTAGAAGAAGATGTTTAAAGGTTTTTCTATTTTTAGCTCTGCCGACACCTAAAAGGGGCCAATTGGTATGACATGAGCAAATTCAAGTGTGACTGTCACAAGGATGCTACAGACCAAATTTGAAGTAAATCTGCCCAGTAGTTTCAGAGAAGAAGACGATTGTTGACGCATGACGTCGGACGACGGAGGCCGGAGCATCTCCCTTTGATACTAATAGCTCACCCTGAGCCTTCGCCTCTGGTGAGCTAATAAATAAATAAATAAATAAATAAATAAATAAATAAATAAATAAATAAATAAAATATTTAAGAGTTATGTTATAAATATAAAAATTAGGCTTAAATTACAATATACATGTGTATGTCTAACATACAGTTTTTAAGACTATAACCACAACACACTACCAGTGCTTGCTCTTTTTCTGCAAATTGTTACATTCCGTAATTAATTCTTCTTGTTGATTAATTAACTAAACAAACAAACAAACAATGAATTGAAAATAAGTAGATAAACTTTTCGAACAACAATTATAAAGAGACAAATTAGGTTTAAATCAGAGCACTGAAAACACTTGAAACCTGCGATGCATTCAAAATTGGAATAGCATCACCTTTTAGTCAGTTTCTGTTGCAACGATAGTGAGTTTATATACGTAAAAACCGGTGTTCCGACAACAGTGAACTATACAAAAACATCAATTTGAAATAATCTTAACAGTTAAAATGTGTTCACAGTAAACTAGAAAGCATTATCTATCTAAGCACTATATAATTTTTAATTTTTACATGCCACTTAAGTCTATTACACCGACAATAAATATACTGAAATTCCAGGTTATTTCTGAAGTATTTTATTATTTTTACGCATGCGATTCACCTTTCAAGAACCGTTGGTTGATGGAAAACTAATTTTGAAATGTTCACCGGTTAGAAAACCTTTTTCTTAAACAACAGTGCTCCAGTTACGCTTGTTAAAAGTTATCCAGTTATTAAGTTCCACAAAACTGTCGCTTTTCTCTTGCTGCTAAAAGACCTTTCATTATCATTCCTAGATGTTTGATCCTCTCAGTTTTATCCTCTGGTTTATATGATATAAACGGTACAGCTTTAATTCTCAGTAATCCTGTAAGCTAAAACAGAGAAATGCATCTATTACATAAAATATTAATCATTGGTATTTTATGATACATATCGTAATGTCTCCATTACGTGATATATAAATGTTATTCCAAAGCTGCAAATCCTTTGGAACTACCCGTTTATGACGGAAGAAAGCAAGCTGTAGATTATCTGGTTAGACTTGGTAGAATTGCTAGGTTTTATAATGGTTGCGTAAATATGTATGACCAAAGGCACAAGTACGGATAGTCTAGGATTTTTGCTGTTGAATAGTTATCACTAACACCATATACCTTCTATGAAAATGATGTTTGGCCCATGAATTACAATGGTGGCAATCTAGTAGTATCTATTATTTTATACGACAAGGTGTGAACAGGTGCTCGTAATGGTCGTGTGTTTCAAAGTGGTTGAGAACATGTATACAATCGATACATAAATCGGAATATTGTGCTTCTAAACATCTATTATAAAATCATTTCGGTTGGATTACATATGTCCTAGAGTCTTTGACTTCTGATGGCAAAACATAAACGGAAAAAAACGCAGTAACGGCAGTGACTCGGACTCGAGCCAAATTCGGATATGTTACTGGTGGTTCGGATTCACTGATGCTTAGTGAAATTATTAAAAAAACAAAAAAACAAACGGGATATTATATGAAAAGGACCTAAGTTTATCAGATTCTACTACAAGTGCCTGTGAAAGCAGTGTATTTAATCAACAAACATCAACGCCTATAATAAAGACAAATAGCCAAAATCAGACCAAAATTATGGCGGGAATTGATTCTCCAGGTAAAGTTGTTAAAACGAACGAAAAGCAGCAGCTAGCCTTTTTAGTACAGGCTGTTACTGAAATTAAATTAGGACAAGATAGCATGAAAAAGAATGTTTGAATCTAAATTACTTAAAATGAGAAGCAAACTAATAGCAGATATTGACTCATAAGTTTGAGCATTGAAAGATGAACTGAGTTTTGACATTGGAAGGAAAACCTGACGTATTGATGACGTGTTGACCAATGTTCACGCGATAAGTGATGGTTTGATTAATGTAGAGCAATCAACTTTCTCTGGTAATAACGTGTCGGCCATTACTACAGATCAAAGATCAATATGAGCCGCGTCATGAAACCAACACAATGGGTTTGCGACCAGCATGGATCCAGACCAGTCTGCGCATCCGCGCAGTCTGATCAGGATCCATGCTTTCTCTACTTGTAATAGAGTTGGTAAGCGAACAGCATGGATCCTGAGCAGACTGCGCGGATGCGCAGGCTGGTCTGGATCCATGCTGGTCGCAAACGCATTACGTTGGCTTTGTCATGACACGGCTCATATTCTGTATGCGGGATAATCCGCTTGACACCCCGAACCGTCACGGCTAGGGGATACATTTTACCCGATCAGAGGACTTGATTAAAGTAGCACAACGCCCTTGGTGAAGAGGTTTGCTCAATTGTTCGATTATCAGCCGCTGTTCGTCTTCCCGCGAAAATGCATGATCGCCAATTTAGTGTACAGCCTCTTGAGCAAAAGTGATTTTACAAACTAAAGCTTAGATGCATGATCGCCAATTTAGTGTACAGCCTCTTGAGCAAAAGTGATTTTACAAACTAAAGCTTAGATGCATAGACTGTTATAAAATACATCCAGATACAGAGCAGGAAATCACGAATTGAACGTCTGATATAATGAATGCTCGAGATGTAAATTCAAAACCTCCCACAAGGGCGCTAACTGCGCGTAGACGCCAGAGGTCGAATTACTACTAGAAGGCAACCCTAAACACAGACAGCAGATCTTAGATTTATCGATCCCGTGTGTCACGTTATCAACAATCCGAAAGTCATATAAAAAGTGTTGATGTCCCGCCAATGACCAATTAATAGGACTTTTCCCAGCCAGATACTCTTAAGTCTAGCACATATAAACCATGCGGAATGACTAAAGACTAAAGACAATAATGACTTACGCACTTGTATAATAAATAGCTTGAATTGTGATATAATCATTTAGGGAATGATGATGAATTAATCGTACAGTATTATACTTGGATTGGCTATTCCCGTAAATGATCCCAAACCTTCGGGTGATGTAGGATTACTCATAAAGACTAGTTGTTTTGAAACATAATGTATCGGTATTTGATAAAACATATGATGGTATACTTGACGTTAAATTCGTGAACAAATCTACAGACAGTGATTTCGTAGTTTTATCGTTTTCCGATCATCAGATACTAGATCTATCAAAGGTTTTGACAACATTCCCGACAGGAAAGTGCTTGACCAAACCATAAAACAGCACTGTCATGAATTCATAATTTTTTTTTAATTATTCTAAATGTTGCGTCCTAAATGAAAAGATAAAAATTTTACGTCAATACGTAAAGAAAGTTTTGTGTTTGATCTGCGTTCCACTAGACCGGTTCTCAAAGTGCATCTCATTTGAAGTAATTACTATGCAAAGTATTGATGACCATGATAATTTACACGGCTTGCTTGGTGAAAGATCAAGGTTACCGGACCATTCGTCACGACATTAGCCGCTAATGCCTTCCACAGAAGACAGCAATTACTGGATCCGGGTAAAATTAGCAATCAAAAAAGATTTAAAGAGCGCCCGATTCAGGACAATTTTATGATTATATGGACATTGACCGTTAAGTTTTAACAGATAGCATGAACAGAATTAAAACATGTCGCGAGATACAGAGTGTGATATGAACGTTTTATACAATAATTTGTGCATTGCAATTACCGAGAAAATGGACAGAACACGATCGAAAAACGACTCAAAATCTACAAAAAGAGTAAGAAAGCCGAATTAGAATGACGTATTGACTGATCTCTTGAAAACACTTCGACAAAAAGAACGTGCTTTTCTAAAATTTTCCGGGACTCATAGCGTGAAAACAGCTTTGCGCCATGAATACATAGTTGCACGTGACTTATTCGACAATACTTTACGCAAGACAGAGCGGGCCTACAGGCTGTCAAAAGCCGACGAAATAGAAACGCTATGCACCAATAATCCAAGAGAATTCTGTGACCAAATAGACAAATTAAGTTCAAGAAATGACAATCAATTCCCTGTGAGATCATATATGATAACGTTGATGTTATTCGAAATGAAAAGGCGAAGAAATGGAAAAGTGGCGACGCAATTTTGAAAAACTGTGTGTATAACGGCAAAGATTGCACAGAATTTGATAACTCAAAAGGAACATTCACAGTTACTTGAAAATAACATGGCGGACCAACTTTATTCACCTATCATTTTGCTCAATAAACATATATCATTAGATGAAATAAGCTGTGTTATTATAACAGCAAACTTGAAATCAACGAGCGATATCACGATATGTGTTTTTGTAAAAAAATCACATGTCACTGAAATGAAAAAAATAGTAACTAACTAACTAACTAACTAACTAACTAACTAACTAACTAACTAACTAACTAACTAACTAACTAACTAACTAACTAACTAACTAACTAACTAACTAACTAACTAACCTACCTACCTACCTACCTACCTACTTACTTACTTACTTACTTACTTACTTTCTTACTATCTGTTCAGTTTGGAGCAAGCTAGAATTATTACAACATGAATATGTTATAAAAAATCATACAAACCTATAACTTAGCAATAATACATACAAAAATCTAAGGGCTATACTATTATCATAAAAATGAAATAAACATGTACATGAAAACAAAATGAATAAAAGAAAATTTGTCTTAGATTACCTGTTTACTTCTGACACCAACAAACAAAGAGCCTTTGTCTAATAGACTTATATCTAGAGAGCAACTTTGTAATCCTTCTAATGTATGTGCCAGTGCCTTACAAATAGATAAGATAGACACGGCTGGTATGTCTACTTCGTCGGGAATCAAAGTGATGTCTTCATAGTCATGGCGACGTATCGACCTTGTTAAACAACGGCTGGCATTTAAACATCTGATCGCGTTCTCTCCTAGTTCTAAATGGCAAAATAAAGTGTGCTCTTATTATCAGTCAGATTTAATTGCAACATTGTAACTTATTTCTGAAATTTTATGAATGATTTTTTTTCTACTTTGTATTTGCTGATCTATTTTTTTGAAAATAGATATCACATCTGAGAGAGACATGTATTTTTTATCAGTGATTTGTTAGAAAATTCCTAATTTCCCAGAAGACATAAAGAAGTAAAAAACAGAGACCACCCAAAAATGGCAAAATTAAAAATACTGCATGAGCAGTGAATGAGCCTGTTTATGAACGGTAGTGGTAAACGTAAGCTACTGTCCACAACCCCAATCAAATCAACATTTATATAGGATAAAGTTGAAATCCTGAATTAAGAAACATTTGCAGATGTGTTCATACGGTGGTGATAGTGAACCTTCAATGTGATCCTTTGTGAATGGCGTATGGTCCCCAAGTGAAGGAATGCTTATTTTTCTTGAATGTGAAAACCAAAGGCAATAGAAAATGAAAATTATGTCCATACATTTTAACCGATGTCGGTTTAAAAGGGTTTTGACATGTTACCGATCACGTACCAGTCAATGCAAAATCATTCACTTTACTTTTTTTATTCAACCACTGTATCATATGTAACACAACTGATGCCCGGAATAAAAGTTTTACAACTCTAGATAGGAAACAACAAACCTTTTGTCATTTGTTTCAATGATTGTTCATCAGTACTGGGACTGAATTTCTGAAAATATAACAAAATGAAATAATTTTTGGTAACTTCTTTAGATATGAAAGAGTTACTTAACGATCAATTCATTCACTGAATACATTTACAATCGGTTCAACAGAGTAACTGCAATCTGTCACTCAATTGAAGAAACGAGTTACGTCATGACAATTGTTACGATCCAGGCGTAACGAGAAAGAAAAAGCCAGCAACAAACTTGTAACAATAACAAATTTATTACAGAAAAATTATGTAAGAACAATTGAATAACAATTTATGTTTACAAATACGTGAAGTCCAAATAAAAATGAAATCTCAAATGTCTAGTCTAATCCGGGAATGATCCCCTTTTGAATAGCACAGTTAAATCCAAGTTAAATCCAAGAACACTTTAGAATAAATTCCCACAATAAAATCCACAAGAATAATTTAATCTATTTGAAAATCCAAGCTCCAATAAATTACTTAATATCCAAGTTGAATAATACTCCAAATGTTTTGATGACTTATAAGGTAACTGATGACTTAAAAGGTAAAGGTCATGATAAATGTCCCCTATATATATATATATTAAGCTAAGAACTTTCCAGAATAGTCTTCCATATTCTACAGTAATCATAATCTAGCAACTTCAACAATAAAGAACATTCAGGAAATTTCTATCTAAATATAATGTATGAATCATAATGTAGAATTTTCTACAACAGTTAAGAAAGTTCTAGTACATACATGTAGTTTATGTTCTAAAATAGAACAGTGATAATACTATATACATATAATATGTTGCATACATAACACAATGTTTAACTTTATCAGGATTTTTACTAGAGAATTGCAACCTGAACACAAATTTGAAAGCACTCTGATTTGTGTTATGTCTTATTTTCGCATGGCCTCATACGAAAACACGACACTCGTATTCTAGTCTGGAGCCCTGCAGAGCAAAAGTACGACAAATTGACCACATTGTCGTAACTTCGTGTTTTCCTGGCGTCTCGCGGAGCCAAAGTGAAACAAAGTGGTCACTGTCTTTTTTTCGTGTTTTCGCCTGGCGCTTCGCGGAGCGAAGGACAAGGCACGAATATGTGACAGTGATCACTTTAACTTGTTTCTGAAATATGGTCTGGCGTACTGCGGAGTGAAAGGCGAAAAGAGTGAAAATTTTGTCGTTTTTATTTATTGTTTTCACAGAGCGCCCCGCGGAACGAAATTACGACAAAGTTGTCGCTTTGTTGTAAATTCGTGATTTTCTTTGGCGCCTCGCGGAGCATGTCACAAATCAGCAACCATCAATAAAATGTTAAACATATCCGAATAGTACACTATGGAAAACTATGGAAAGCCGCGACTGCCATAAATATGTAATTTCAATCTGTGACAGTTATAATTATGACGACTGGTGGGTAAAGACCCCACCCCCGCATCTAAGTAGAACCACCGACATTCAATAAGCTAGCTGGATAATTTTTTAACACAAGTATTGCGTGTTGCTAAAAGTCAAATTAAAGTTCTCATAAAGACATGCTGTAAGAAATTATACATACGTAAATTTATGTATGTTTGCCAAAAAGGTAATGAGCTGGTCTCAATTTTCATAAAAACTTAAAAGGAATAAATTATTTCTTGGGTTTATCGTTTTTTATTGAAATACGCTAAGCAAGTTTTTGTAATAGTGTTACCCTGTTCCGTCAGTCCGTCATTCCGTCCTTCCGTCATCATCAGTTTCCGTTCATTATCTTAATAACAGTTGCACATATTGAACTTAAATTTGACATATAGATATGTCATGAGAAAATACAGGTCAAGTTCGAAATTGGTCATGGTTCGATGATTTTTGGCAGAGTTATGCCCCTTTTACTTTGAAAATAATATGAAATTTTCAGTTTCCGTTTATTAACTCCCCAATGGTACAACACTTTCAACTCAAACTTGACATATGGATACGTCAAAGGAATGCGCAGGTCAAGTTCAAATTTGGTCATGGTTCGATGATTTTTCGCAGAGTTATGTCCCTTTCACTTTGAAAATAATATGAAATTTTCAGTTTCCGTTCATAATCTCCCCAATGGAACAACACATTCAACTCAAACTTTACATATGGATATGTCATGAGAAAATACAGGTCAAGGTCGAATTTGGTCATGGTTCGATGATTTTTGGCAGAGTTATGTCCCCTTTACTTTGAAAATAATATGAAAATTTTAGTTTCCGTTTATTATCTCCCCAACAGTATTACACATTCAACTCAAATTTAACAAATGGATACGCCAAAGGAATGCGCAGGTCAAGTTCAAATTTGGTCATGGTTCGATGATTTTTGGCAGAGTTATGTCCCCTTTACTTTGAAAATAATATGAAATTTTCAGTTTCCGTTTATTATCTCCCAAACAGTATTACACATTCAATTCAAATTTAACAAATGGATACGCCAAAGGAATGCGCAGGTCAAGTTCAAATTTGGTCATGGTTCGATGATTTTTGGCAGAGTTATGCCCCTTTCACTTTAAAGATAATATGAAATTTTCAGTTTCCGTTTATTATCTCCCCAACAGTACTACACATCTAATGCCCCTTTCACTTTGAAAATGATATGAAATTTACAGTTTCTGTTCATTATCAACCCAACAGTGTTACATATTCAACTCAAAATTGACATATGGATATGTCAAAGGAATGCGCAGGTCAAGTTTGAATTTGGTCATAGTTCGATGATTTTTTTTGCAGAGTTATGTCCCTTTCACTTTGAAAATAATATAGATACATCTTAGGAATGAGCAGTTTAATTTTGAATTTGGTCGTGGTTCAATGATTGTGGACAAACTTATCTTTCCTGAATGTTGGAAAAATTTTGAACTTTCAGTTTCAGCACTCATACTTTTGTGGAAATGTATATAGCCATTATTTTGGCTACAAATATGCAATATGCTATTTTCGAAAGGTTAAGACTGAATATTTCAGTGCTTTGAACATTGTATAAAAATGGTTTGTGTTAACATTGAAAAGTTTAAAGAGCCTTGAACTTAGAATCAGAAAAATAATTTGTGCAAACAAATTTGGAACTAAATATTATAACATCTGAAAGTTTGGCTGCATGCGGGGGCATCCGTGGCATGGTGACACATTTCTAGTTTTTTTATTATTATTATTATTTTTTATTTTCATATAAGGTAAGGTGCAAGCGCTATTTATATTGTTGTTACAGCTACAGATTACAATTAGATATTACATTAAATGATTTAATTAATTCATATAACTCATTGATTTAATTGATTACTTATTTCGTGCATTTCAATTAGCATTTCAAGTAAATGAATTTAAAGCTTACGTTCAAAGCATATTTATTTGGTGGCAAGTTGAAACTGTTTATAGTCTGCAGGAAAAGTTGTCCGTTCCGTTAGCAAGTAATAATGGCACAAATAAAGCCTCTGTACTTATGAACATAATATAACAACTGGCAGCCAAGCTGAAATGTTGGATTGAAACTTTTGAGTTACAGACCTTACACATGCTTTTCATTTGCTGGAAAGAAATTCATAGTAAATAACTCACCGTTCCTCCAACGATGGCGCTTAATGTATATAAAATAGGATTAAGAGCCGAGTTGACTGGTAGAATAAAAACAGCTGCCCATGCATATACCTCTCCAGATATCACGTGACCAGACAGCGCAAACATTGCTAGAATTGAAGATACAATAATTATTAATTTAAAAGTATATTTTTTACTTTCCCTGCAATGATTGCACTAAATAGAATTTAGAGCCGAGTTGACTGGTAGTATAACAAGAGCGGCGCTTGACATTTCGGAAAAAAAGTTGTCACATTAGGGTGTTTCATTGAGTATAATAATGCTTACTTATATGAACACATAACATTGTCCGAAAAAGGTACAAAGGCTTGTTATTAAGGTGTGATATCGAGTAAACCACTAATTGATTATTATGAATGCATAAAATTGTCCCGAAAAAAAAAGCACAAACCCTTCAGTAGTTATGCAGATACCAGCTTACATGCAAAAACTTAACTCAGATTTTTTTAAAGTCAGGGTTATTGGACTTTTGCCAATTAGGTTAATAAATAATTACAGAGAACAAGTGCGTGAAGTTTCAATCCATTCCCTTCAGTAGTTATGGAGATACCAGCTTACAAGCAAACACTTCCAAGAATTTCGAAGTCGAAAAAGGGGCATAGTTATGCAAAAAAGCAAGTCAGAGTTATGGGACTTGTGCACTCATGTTAAATAATCACAGTAGTTAAGGAGATACCAGCTTACACGCAAACACTTCCAAGAATTTCGAAGTCGAAAAAGGGGCATATTTATGCATAAAAGCAAGTCAGAGTTATGGGACTTGTGCAATCATGTTAAATAATCACAGAGAACAAGTGTGTGAAGTTTCAATCCATTTCCTTCAGTAGTTATGGAGATACCAGCTTACACGCAAACACTTCCAAGAATTTCGAAGTCGAAAAAGGGGCATAGATATGCAAAAAAACAATTCAGAGTTATGGGACTTGTGCAATCATGTTAAATAATCACAGTTGTTATGGAGATACCAGCTTACACGCAAACACTTCCAAGAATTTCGAAGTCGAAAAAGGGGCATAGTTATGCAAAAAAGCAAGTTAGAGTTATGGGATTTGTGCAATCATGTAAAATAATCACAGAGAACAAGTGTGTGAAGTTTCATTCCCTTCAGTAGTTATGGAGATACCAGCTTTCAGCAAAAACTTAACCAAAAATATATAAGTCGTTTGTTTGTTTTTGTTTGTTTGTTTCATTTTACGCCTTTTTCAACAGTATTTCAGTCATATAGGCGGGTAGTTTCCTAACCATCGTTCCTGGAGAGTTACACCAGTACTAGACAACCTTCCTCCGCGCTAAACTACCAAAGCATCTCCCGGGGATCGAACCCACGCCAGAGAGGTAACTGGATTAGAAGTCATCGACTCTAACCCCTCGACCACGGAGGCGGTATATATAAGTCGTAAAAGGGGCATAATTGTGCAAAAAAAAAGGCGGTATATATAAGTCGTAAAAGGGGCATAATTGTGCAAAAAAAAAGCATATCAGAATTATGGGAATTGTGCCAATCATGTTAGATAATCACGGACAAGAAGTGTGTGAAGTTTCAATCCATTCAATATGGAGATACCAGATTACACGTTAAAACTTAACCACAAGGGCGTCGACACCGACACGACGCCGGCTAATGGGTGATTGTATTAGCTCGAATATTCTGCGAATTGTCAAGCTAAAAACAGCTGCCGATGCATAGATATCACTTGACCGGACAGCGCAAATATTGCAAGAATTAAAGATACATTTACAACATTTTTGGGCCAGCTCTATCATAACTAACTATCACATTGTTTTATAAGTAACAGTGTCTTTAAATCGGTAAATCGGGCAAGCTTATTAAATCGTAATGAAAAAAATAAATAAAAAAAATGTAGTGGGGTATGTTATTTATCCGGTTAAATGGATCATTAAAATAACTTCTTACCCATGACTCCTATAGGAAACCAGCACATAAAATCAGTTGCTACAACTAGCAGAAGATTCCTTGCAACTTTAAGGTCCCTTTTTCTTGAACTTTCTACAGTGGTGGCGATTCCAGAATAATTGCGAATTTCAATGAAAATCGAGAGCTGCCCAACTGCGACTAAGATAAATGTAAGAAAATTCAGGCAAACAAAGACAGATAAGGAGTAAACCCAGCCAGGTGGACGATCTCTTGTTAACGGTAAAGCAATGCAAACACCAGACTTTGAGTAGAATTCGTTTTTAAAGTATCCTTCATAAGCAAGAGGAAATATGGCTGCCGTAACGGAAAATACCCACGTGAAAATAGCACAAGTGACAGCTCTGTCTTTGGTCAATTTAGCTCGTCCAAACGGAAATTTGATAACCAGAAGCCTATCCAATGTAATGAGACAAAGAAATAAAACGCTCGCTTCTGAAGAAGTGGTGGACAGCATTCCTGCGAGGTTACACCATATACTGTGCCTCCAGTAGTCGTCCATAAATATGTATCTTTAAAAGAATATGTTCAATTTGCATCACAAATGACTACATAATTTGTATAGGTACAAATGTACTGTAACTTACAAAAATGTTGAGCACACCCACATGCTTGATTTAATGTTCATGAGGACGCACGACTATAATGTAAATACAAAGTACTATTCAACAAAAAAGACAATGAATAAAAACTTTGGTGCGAGACTCTTTTGTCCCGATATAAAACTTTTCACGACTAGGGGAGAAACTGTGTAAACCACCTGAAAGCTGGGTCGATATAGCTGCAAAACGATTCCCGGCGCCACGGGTTCGAATCCCAATCAGTCTGCGCATAGTTTTCTTCCTCAGACATTTTACCTAATAATATTTATTTTAATTTATTATATAATTCGTTGCATTGATTCATATCAGTCTAAATTGAATTAGGCAGAGACATCACATAAGTATAGTCATTAATGTTAATATTTTTATTACAATTCGGCCTTTTAAAGTCACCTATATATAGTATATAATATCTTAAGTGTTACTTTTCTATTTCAGGAACATCACGTGACTTACCTTTTCCGAAATGCAGAATCGGCAGCAGCTATAATGATGAGATATATAGCCATTAGAAAATCGGCAACTGCCAAGTTTGTTACAAATATGCCAAACCCCAATTTCAACCTATCTCTATCATATTTCAGCCTATATAAAAGCGTCAGAATATTTCCAAGAAACGCAGTGATTCCTATTAACCATATCAAAAACTGTAGCACAGAATTTCTCATAAGGTCATCACAGGATGAAAACTCGTCTTTTTGAGGATAACAGTTTTCTTCTTTTACATAATTGGGTCGAATACAACAGAATTTGAACTCCGGAGTAATCAGGTTTTCTAAACCAATAAGCCCCGTAAATATTTCTGTATTAAATGATTTAATATTATTTTCTTTGAAACTGATAGACCGTATAGATGCACCGCGGAAAGCAAAACTTGCCAATCCCTTTAGCTTGTTGTTTGATAAGTCTAAGTTGTGTAAACTCATTCCTGAAAATGTGTCTGCCAAAATTGTTTCCAGTCTAGCATTGGCTAAGTCCAGTTCTCCAACATGGTCCAGTCCAGCAAAGGCTTCCATTCCTATAACTGATAGCTGATAGTTACCTCGTAGATTAAGGACTTGTAGCTGCTCTAAGCTGATAAAAACAAAATCTGGCAAAATTGTTAATAAGTTGTAACTTAGATCTAAATGGCGGATATTCTTTATTCTTTCAAACGAATAAGAATTTATACGCTGTATTCCACAGTATGAAAGATTAAAGACGATTAAAGTTTGCCAATGTAAATAAGTTTCCTCCAAGATAGAGCTGAGTCCAATGTTAGAACTTAAATCAAGATACCGGACTGTATCTGGTATTGTTGGTAATAAAGATAACTGAAAGTCAGTGTTGCTGCAATCAGCAACATACCCCTGGCATGTGCAATTATCTGGACATCTAAAGTCACAAATTGCCTCATCGTCACCATGGATACAATGAATAATCCCGTCACAGACTTGATCTATCAATAAACAAGCATGACTCCAAGCACATTTGTAACCATAGGGGCAGTGAACCTTTGTTGTTACTGAAAATAAAAATTGTTGCTGTGAGTGTGAAAAGTCTACCATACAAACGAAAGAAACTAATAAATACATATATGCACATTGAACTAACCCACACTTTGTGTCATGACAGTACATCTTCATACACACAGTTGGGGTAAATGATTTTGGGTTGGAACGTTTAGAAAATTGCTTTATCATTCAGAGTTTATACAGAACATATACTTAAAATAACTATAGTCCTGGGCCTGATTATCCGATATGACACATCAATGTATGGCAGTTAATAAAATGTTCCAGAACAGAATATTATTATTCATCACATATATGTACATATTCATTCATTTAAGAACTCTATCAACATTTTTATTTTCGAAAAATATTTCGTCATAAAAGCTTAGTGCTTAAATATGTTGAATTGAATTGTTTGTTTTCTGTTAAAGTCAAACTTAGTCAATAAAAAGATTTGTTTTTCAAACATGCATTATGGTTTGTTCAATTTCACTATCTATAACAATGTAAACCTTACTATTGCATAGGTCGCTGAAATATTCTGCACCAATTCCATTTAGACTCTGCCATCTTCTAACATAAAATTCTAAAACATTTTCCGAACTTGAAGTCTTTGAATAACTTGACACATTAAAATTCTCGATCACCCTGTAAACTTTGGCGTTTTGTTCCAAGATAAACTTTGTTTTTACGATTTCCTTATTGACTTCTTCTGCAACCCCTCTCGTTTGAATTAAAATAACACCTTTCAGGTGATCATTTGTAAAATGAACTGACTCTAGAAGATGTTTTGCCATTGTTTTATAGCGACAACTGAACGAATTTTCAGTATCATGTGCTCTATTTATTTCCTTATCAAGAACGTCTAGCAACAAATTATTGATTCCATAAGCACTGAATGGTTTTGTTGCCTTATAGCTTAATACACGAACAATATTTGTTGGAGTGGAAAATTGCTGTGCAAACCGAAATATATCTGGCCCATCAGTAGTTTCCTCGTCGTGAATAATAAGAATTTCATTTTTTGATGAGGCACATTCTGCAATTTTACAATAAACCAAAAAAAGAAAAAATGAAACAGTTAAGATTCGCCACAAAAAAACGAGAGTAACAAATGTACGACAGCTGCAAATGTTTAAACGTAGATGTCATTAATTCAGTTGTTCATCGCTTTGAAGGAATACAACTTAGCATGGTATATTCTAAAGAAGAGAGTAACCATTGTAACAATTTGATTTCTCTCTCTCTCCTCCCACTTTCTCTTGCCAGCTACCTTTATATTGTATTTATTTTTCTTGGGAAACAATCTATCAATGATCTTTAAGATTTTAAATTATTTGAGTTATTAGTATGGTTGTATATTACATCTAGTTAATTTATGTTGTTGATATGACTTTTATCTCTGAGCTGCATGCCTCCAGACAAACCCTTAAAGTATTTCATAGTAGTAGTAACATTTTAAGTAGCTTTAAAGGATTCAAGATTCCAATAATGATGTCCTTGTTATTTTGATGCAATAAGATTCAAATAATAATGTACATGCATTTTGATTTTGCAGTATTCATTACATATTTTTACTGCTTGACTAACGCAGTGACGGCTATATTTGCATATTTTGACTTCTCTTACGTAGATTATAATGCCGTTTTGCATTGTGTAAATAACTTTCTTTAATTTAAAATACATTTTCAAATTTTTCGTTAAAATTAGCATTATTGAAATGCATTCTCCCTAAAATGAATTTGAAATGACTGACCACAATAGTATTCATCTTCCCCTCCCGGGCAATGTAGAAGTCCATCACATAGAAACCGCTGTGGAATACAATAGCTGTTTGGGCATTTAGCCATACCCTCTGGACATGTATAGTGCTCTGTCAAACATACATCGCACAATATTTTTCCATCACATTAGAGTAAAATGTTTATACATTATTAACAACAAAAAGAATATCTAATCCAGCATGAGATAATAAATACAGTTAAAAAATATCATAAATATAATAAACATTCTGAGATAAAGCTTTTTGACATTTGATATATTTTTATTAGATATTTATAACCAAGATATTAATAAATTTAATCCAATTTTCATATCAAAAATAGTTATTTGATATTTAAATTGTCGTAGAATATTAATTCTAAATATTTTTGTCACAACAATCATGTCAAACAAGCAACACTGATTTGACCTAAAATAGTCCAATATAAATCAAATAACAAAGCTAGGATTTTGTACGTTCGTAGTAAAAAAAGCTCGACCTTACCAGACCCAGTAGTTAATTAGATGTTGCATAAATAACGATTCAAAATATAACATGAAACATTGTCAAAGTCCTAGCAAATAGAATAACTGGAAAAAGGGCGATGTATACAAACATAAGAACTGCGGACTTGGTTTGTCTGAATCTAGGACTTAAGTCCCATATTGAATCTGTTCATAAGAGATAATAGAAAAGTGTAAAATCTCTCATGCCTCCTTGCACCTGCCTAAGCGGTATTCAATCATCAAAACTAACGTGGTGGACCGGAAAATAATAATAATAATAATAATAAAGACTTTATCTAACGAGAGAACTTATTTGAACAAACATATTAATCTTCCATGAGGCCCTCAACAAGAAACAACATAAATTTAACATACTCAAACTATTAAAATACATAAATGTAAATACATACAGGAGATTATTAATTTGTATACATCAGTGTGTGATAATTTCTCAAGTAACAGGTTTTAAAATGGTTCACAGATGTAGCACACTAAATATAATCAAGAAGGTCGTTTCAAATACAAGATCCAGAATAAACAAAAGACTTTTTGTTTGGTGCCTTCTGGGTGTCCTACTTGGGTGTGTCCGGGGCAGCGTCCTATGAACGTTGCCTTTGCCTTGTTGATCTTTATTCTTGTTAATTTACGACATTGTTCAGTATTTGGTCTAGGGGTATAAAGTTGAATCAGATGATGAACGCAAAATGCGAGTATGAACATCTGACGATAAAATGAAATAATTCAATAAATAGGAAGGCGCCTGAGTATTCATTATTTTAAACATCATAATAGCTTTTTGAAAAACAACCCTCTGTGAAAAGGTCAACCAGCGGAGTTCCGAAAAAAGTTCTGCAGGATGAGTGTCATAATTTTTGTCTAGAATTAGTCTTGGAGCTCTCTTTTGAAACTTAATGAGTTTATCATCTAGAAAAGACGTACAGTAACAGTAAATTATGCAACAATAGTCAAGATGTGCTAAAATTTATGCATTGTTAAACATTTTTAGTACAGGTATAGATATGAATAATTTTTAACGAGATAATAATGTAACAATGAGTTGAATTTTTTAAGAAGATTATCAAAATGACTTTGCCAAGACAAGGTGTTATTAATTGTAATACTCAATAATTTTTCTTCAGAGCTACAAACAATTTGCTCTGTTTTATATGAAATACAATGATTACTTTCATAAATATAATTTTGCTTGTGTTTTGAGGAAATATACATGACCTTAGTTTTGTTAGCATTGATATACATGCGATTCAAATCAAACCATTTGTTGGCATTTAAAAGATCATGAGTAAGAGATTCAACTAATCTGTTTAAGGATACATCAGAGGTTGAAAGGGTGGTGTCATCAGCAAAAATATCAGTTTATGTTTTTTTCATAGACAAAGGCAGGTCATTGATATAGATTTAAAACAGTATAGGACCTAGCACTGAGCCCTGAGGAACTCCAGTAGTTACTGAACTTGACTCTGAATATAAACCGGATATACATGAAAGTTTTTTTGGTTCTGCAATCTAAAAAGGAAGAAAAACCAAGTAACTGATGAAGGGTCTAGGTTATACATTCTAACCTTTTAAATAATAATAGAGTGTTCCACATAGTCAAAAGCTTTAGAGAGATCATGGAAAATTGAACGAACTATTTCATGTTTGTCAATAGCTGTAATGCACTCATCAAAAATGCAGTTTGACATTAATGATTTGACCTGAATCCAGACAGATGTTGGTATAGAAGTTAATTTTTCTCAAGGTTTGCTTTAAATGTGAAATGACATGACGTTCAAGAATAAGTGATATCAAGGGAAGTATGGAAAGTGGCCTATAATTTCTTTTATCACTTTTAGAATCCTTTTTATGTATATGGATGACTTTGCCATTTTTAATAATATTTAGGACATGTATTGTTTAGAATGCTATCATTGAATATAGTGGTAAGTTTGGGAGCAATAATATGGGCCGATCACTTTAGAAACCTTGCACTGAGACCATCTGACGCACATGACTTTGTAATATCAGAAAGAATTACAATACTGAAGTATGAACTACCACATGGCACTTATTATCAACTGTTATGAAGTCACATATATAGATAATGTATACATCGAAACCTCGTTGTGACATGCCTTAATCAGACTATCTTTCAAGTGGGAAAAGATGCTGATAGAACAGTTCTCTTTTACTTACTCTCTTACCAGTTATCTCTAGAATATTAGATATCTCTCATAAGGACATTATTCAACTATGGAAAACGTACAATAAAGGCATTAAATTTGGCTGACTGATATACAGTCTTCACAAGAGACAAAGTTTATAAATATTGAACATTGAAATAATCTGTTAACTTCTTTCTTTCACCTTTTGATAATGATGTGTCTTAACTTTCATTTAGACTTTGTGATTAAAGGATGTTAGCAGTTCAATATGTTGTTTTGGAACTATCATTGACTTGTTTTGATTTTGTTCGACCACGTGTTAAAATAACGATGTCCCTTATGAACGTAATTCATCATGCACTTTGCTGAATCGTTATTTGCATACTATTAGATTATGTACATACCACAATTGTTCAGATGACTCCCATCTCTACAACCAATAGGAAAACCGGTTTCGTCAATGTTATGTATACATCTCATGGTTTTTGGAATATGTTTCCCGTTTATATCACAAATGAAATTGTCATCTACGGCTTGGTAATCTAGTGCAGTGTAAAATAAGTTTGCTATGACCTCGTCAATTTGAATATGTGACATACAGCAGTATGATGGAATAGATGTTGCTATGAAAATAATTGTTGCCATGACCTTGATAATTTGACTATGTAATCTACAGTAGTATGAAACAATAAAAAATTCTGCCATGACAATGTCAGTTTAAGTAAGTAATCTAAAGTAGTATGAAATAATGAAATAGATATTGCCATGGCCTTGTCAACAAGAATTGCAAACAGAGTTACCAACGTCTCCCGCCTAAAGAACGTTTTACATCAAGAACAAAATTGTGCTTTTTCAAAAGTTTGAGGTATGGATCTGGAATTTCAGTGCAAAATATTGACAAATGCTAGGACAGCACACGCAACAAGAAATTCATGAAAGAAAAATCAACGAAATAACTCCTGTGTATGTGTCAACAGAAATACATTTGATTGCTTTTTTCACCATTTCAAAACCACAAAAAGTGCCAAATCATAATAAATAAATGGTACGGTCTTTAAAAGTTATATTTCATGTCCAATACGTAACCTTTTCATTGATAAGGGCATGTGGGCGATTCACCAATGACATTCCATTTGCTTGGACCTGACTTGGAAAAATACCCTGTAACATAACATGTTAGGGTTTGACATCCAAGTGTTACTTTGATCTTGGAGGTATGGGGTCGGATGTTGCGCAGGCCACGTCGCCTTATTATTGTGAACATGTGTGTTACGCAAATTGCAACATCATTTGATCTATGGAAAGTAATGGACCGGATACAAAAACACCTTATAAAATACCTTGACCTTAGAAGTAGGGGTCCAGCAGGTGTTGCGCAAGATACATCGTCTCATTATTGTGAACATTTGTGCCAAGTAATTTCACAATCTCTTGATCTACGAAACAGTTATGACCGGACACAAAATACTCTTTATTACAGACCATGTTACACCTTTACCATCGAATATGACCTTAACTTTTACGGTAGGTATCTATTAGTTGCGCATGACACGTCGTCTTATAATTGTGAGATTTTTAGTACCTAGTATTATCAAATTCCTTGATGGATGAAAAAGTTTCGGACCGGACACAACATATACCCTCAAATAGACAATGTTGACCTTAAATAACCAAGTGTGACCGTGACCTTAGGTG